AACAAAATTTTACTAAAATGTCTTAAAATACTAAAGAGTAAACTTATTCAATAAAATCACCATTACCTTCAAGCAGGATCTCCTGCAACTATTCTAGGCGGTTTCCTTGTTTAAGTTGGTGAATGCTGCCATAATCTTTGGTGTTACAAGAAGTTTTGTTGGTCTCTCATTCAACTGCACCTCACACATAATAATCAAGGGGGTTGCAATCTAGGGAGTTAGGTGGCCAGATGTAACAAGTGATATGGCTACAGAAATTTCCTGACAACCATGACTGGGTTCTCCTGCTTGTGTGTCATGGTGCAGAGTCCTGTCACCAGACATAGTGTCTTCCAGCAGCCACCCTCTTGACTCAGGGCATCACTACCTCCTCAAAGTACTTGACGTAGGCCCCCGTTTTCAGTCTGAGGTCCTGTGTGATGATGACTGGAGGAATAACGTCGCCATCACTAGTGATCACAACAAAAACCTTCGAAATCACCATTACTCATCCAACTCTTTCTGACTCCTCTGAACTATCCTTAGATTGATATCCGAACACTCTGAAATGTTCATATTGGAGCTTCCGGTGCGAATGCCAAACAGTACAACATGCTGTTTCCTAATTTCTGGCAGAGTGAATTGTGTCATGTTGCACCTTTTCTCAGAGACAGTGCCCAACTGATCCTACTACACTGTGCAGTTGGCAAAATCAAAAACTAACAATGCGCATGCGCAAAATTAAAAATATAAAATGGTGACATTTTATCCATCGCACCCTGCAATATGATAAAAATAGATTTTTCATCAAACCAAAATGACTACGGAAAAAAATCACGTTCTAGAACGGATAAAAAATATAATTTAATAATAAATTTGCGAAAGATCTCAAAAGATAAAAAAATAATAAAATTAACGTTCTAAAACGGATAAAAAGATAATTTAATATTAAAATTTCGAACGTTCTGAAAACGGTAAAAAATGTATGATTAAAACAGAAAAAATAAATTAAACGAATTGAAGTAAAATTCAATTCAGCCGTTATTTTCTAATAAGAGAGTAAGTCTTTTGGTCCATTTGTATGTCGCATCTATATTAAGACATTTTTTCCTACCTATACTAGGTCTGTAAGGTGAGACAATTCCAAGAAGTACCCCATGTGTAGAGTATGAGGCCTTCACCAACAAATTCAGGAATTCTTTCCTTATCAGAATGATAAGAGTGAGTTTTCTGAGCTGGCATACCTTCGTAATCACCATTAGACTCATCCAACTCTTTCTGAATCCTCTGAATTGTCCTCAGATTGGCACCCAAACACTCTGAAATGTTCGTATTGGTGCCATCGGCGCAAATGTCAAGCAGTACAGCATGCAGTTTCCAAATTTATGATGGAATTGCGTCATGATGTTTTTTTTCTCGCAGACTTTACCCAATTGATCCTCCTATATGTATACAGTCGACAAACTCAAAAACAGATAACGCGCATGCGTGAAATAAAAAATAAAAATTGGCGACAATTTACCCATAGCATCCTCTGTGTGTGTGTATATATATATATATATATATATATATATATATATATATATATATATATATAAATATATATATATATATATATAATAACATTTACCAACCTGAATGTCCGAGAAATTTTTCATAGAAAATATTTGTTCTCCGACAGGAATCGAACCTAGATCAATTACAACTAAATAGTGACATCGATCCTCATGTCGTCGTAGTGCCCAAAGTCTTATGATTAATAAATATAGCTTTTACTTAATAACAATATTACCTAACCGGTATAGATTAATATAGGATTTTAAAAGATTCACAACTTTATATATTACTAGCAGCATGGCACGGCGTTGCCCGTGCTTGATTCAAAATCGTACGACTCATACAGCAATCGCTATCACTTGACTTAAAATATTTTTGCCCTTCCTTGCCTTTTAAGGAGTGCCCTTTGCCGTGCTGATGTTGCTACATGCCTTACTTCTTGCCTATCTCACACTGCGAATTTTTTCTACGCTCTATACTAAACATTAAATCTGTTACGAAAAAAGAACTAAACAAAATGAACACAAAACGATCAGCTTTAAAAAAGGACTCGTAACTGGAAAAAACGAATAAAAAAGAATGTTAACAACAAATACTTTTTCACACCCAACCCAGTTCTGCGGAATCAGAATCAACGTTGAGTCTAAGCAAGCGAATGAGCCAATTGGAGTAAAGTGCCATGCAGATTTAAATTTTTCCCACTTGTGACGAATGCAGCTATCGATTTTTTTTTTTTTTGCATGCTAGCATGCTAATTAACATTCGTGTCAGTCAGCTGTTGGCTCTCACGCTGTCCAATAGAATCTTCCTACCTATTCGTGGCAGCCACCTATTGGCTCTTACTCTGGACAGTAGTAAATGGCCGCAAACTACATGAAGAATGTCGTAGAAGCATGAAAAAAATCGATTATTTCCACTATCGGTGGGAGTTGGGAAATGCAATGTCGGTCTTGGCCTTACCGCTAACTTAGACCATGTGCATGTAAATTTTGGTATAAATCCGTGGAAAATTGCGGCCGTGCATTCGTTACACACATACACACACTTCCTGCCTTTTATAGATAGAGATTCTTTTTTTTTTTTACAAAGTGAAAACAAATATTGTAAAATTCATTATTCATCGAAAAAGATTTTTAAGACAATAGTGTCGATAATATATCATATTCGTAAAAGCAATTAAAAGCTTTTCTAATTGAATGTCTTATTGCATTTTTTCTTATTTTACGATTCAGAGCAGATTTTTGCTAACTGATGATCCTGTTTTACAAAAAGTTATTGACGATTTAAATATTCCAAAGAGTTCTGCGCATAACTAAATACAAACATTAAGAAGTAAAAAATTAATTTTTTGAAATTTCATAAAGTAGGGTTAACAAATTTAAAAAAAATGTTGTCACCAAGATTTTCAAAAAAGAAATATTTCTAAAATAATTTCATTCATTTGCAAACAAGGCCTGAAATTTCATTAAAAAACCCGACAATTATTTGATTTTTGTAAGAATTTCCAAATCAATGACTTTCAGAACAAACAAAAAAAAAACGAGTTAAATTTCTTCAGTTAATTGATGGTCCCCGCTGAAGCAAGAAAAACATTTTTAACCAAAATTTCGAACGTTCTAAAGACGGACAAAAAATATAAGTTAATAATGAAAAATTCGAACGTTCAGAAAACAGATAAAAAATACTTTAATAATAAAATTTCGAACCTTCTAAAAACGGATAAAAATATAATTTGAAAACAAAAATTCAGTTCAATCCAGTAGTGCGTACCACAAACATCTAAAAGATTCTGGATTTTATAGATTATAGTTCTATGCGGAACCCATGGCTACGTTGCGAAAATCAAACACTATAGACGAGGAAAATTATGGCTACTACAATCATAAGAAAAACGCCGATGAAACAGAAATATACTAGCGATGTGTAGAGCGATCTTGCAACACTGTTAATCTATCATTGCATTTTTTTTAAAAAATAAACTTTTTTTTTTATTGTATTTCTTTTATTCCTTTTTGAAAAAATTATGATTACTACCTATGCTTTTTTTTTCAAAATTTATCGTAGTTTGCTTTAAAAGCTTCAAAAAATTATCAGTCGTACGCACTTATCCAGGGACGGAATTGTCTAGGGACGCAACAAACCTGGACGCAAATGTTCACTACCCAACTATCCTAGAACTGGACGATTGATATGGCTTAACATTTCAGCACTCTTTTCCTTGTTCTTAATGAAATTTTCCGGTTTCTTGATACTTTGCATAGCTTGTGGAAGGCATCTTTCGCTATTCAAATGTGCCTTCTGATTTCTGTGCCACATTTTCCGTCGTCTGTTAAAACACTTCACAGATGGTCTGTAGGACACTTGTTTCTAAAACCGTATCGGATTATCCATTTTGCCGGACCAACAGAGGTTGCATCACAGAGATTCATCAAAATTTTCCTGACTTACAAATTATTCACATCTCAGGTCCTTAAAACATTAATAAATTTAGGAACGGAAACATATTAAATTCTTTGACGAATGTTTCAATGTTGGAGATTCTCAGAATATGGTTGATCATGGCTCTCTTCGACTTCCTATCCTTTGCAGCACTATCTTTTTTAATATCCCTCCAATTTCTTGCTCTGTCGGCCATTTGCACAAATACGTTAGGAAGATTTCTCGTTGTTTCCCCCATGTCATTTTCGCTTTCTGCATGCCTTGTGAGAGTTAAATTCTCTAACCCTTCTTTCCTCATTACGTATCCTAGAAATTTCAGCTCTTTCTGATTCCAAGTATGTTTTCATTTTCTTTAGAGTATCGTCGTTCATTACAAGCTTATTTGTTATATTCTCAGCATCCTTCTGTAGAACTATATCTTTGTTAAATCTAATCTTCTCTTAATACTGTGATGAAATTCTCCACCATATAGTAAGATCCATCTGGGCACCTCAAGGTGGTGTACTTGATAGCAAGCTTGGCTCGCTAGAACAATTACGACTGAGTAGTGAGTTTGATCCTCACTGGGTGCCCCCTAATTTCGGCCTTGTGTCACATCTAAGCTACGCTTGGAAATACAGGGCATGCGGCGTGGTGTAACGGTTAGCACGCTTGTCTCGCTAGATCAGTTACGACTGAAAAGTGAGTTCGATTCTCACTAGATGCCCAATACTTTCGGCCTTGTGCCACATCTAAGTTACGCTTAGAAAATCAATATAGTAAGATCCATCGTATATAATATGACAGTACACAATACACTGCTAAATTTCACGTGTATGTGTGTGTTAATGTGATTACCGAAGCCATAATGAGCGGTATAGTCTTCAAAATGAGCGATACCTGCCCTTCTCAAAGTGTCGTATAGCGTTCGTCTTGGGGTTGGTTAAGGGATGAACTGTTTGATGATAATTACAATAGGTGCATATTATTCTTCCCTAGCTGTTCATCTTTAAGTTGAAGAGTTCTTCAGAATAAGATTCGTACATTCTTGTATTCGTCTTACACATATAGAATGCACTTGTAATTTCATCTGGATTCAGAGACTTGACAAACCGTCAGAAATCTCATCGATTACTGTATTTTTATTCGATTTACCAACTGCGATCTTTTCTTTTCCGTGTCGTTTCTCTTCAGGATTTGGACAGTCGTGGCTCTCCGGAAAAGAAAGGAAGAATAAAAAAAAAAGGAGAGGAAAGGAACACAATTAAAAAAAAGAATTGAAAGAGAGCATGAAAGAAAGAAAGAAGAGAAAGGGAAGGAATGGAAAAAGGCGGGAAAATAGGACACCATGCTAAAGGAAAGGAGAAAAAAAAAGCAAAGGAAAACTTGAGAAAAGAGATCACCGTAGAAAAAGAAAAAAAGAAAAAGAAAAGAAAAAGAAAAATTAAAGAAGGAGAACCTCGAAAAAGAAAGAATAGGAGAAATGAAGAAAAGAGAATCGAAAAAGAAAAATTAAGAAAGGTGAACATATTCGAAAAAGAAAGAAAGGAAGAGAATGGAAGTAATTATGAAAGAAAAAAGAAAATGTCGAAAGAAAGAAAAAAAAACTGAAAAAAAGAACGTTGATTCAAAATGAAACAAACAAAAGAAAGAAAGAAAGAAAGAAACAAGAGAACAAACGCCACAAGAGGTCTGAATTAAAAAGAAAGAAAGAAGTAGAGGACAAAAGTAGTAAAAGAAAGAAAGAAAAAAAAGAAAGAAAGAAAGAAAGAAAGAATGAATGAATGAATGAATGAATGAAACAAACAAAAAAGGATTACTACAAGAAGGGACGAGACAAAAACTGATTCTGAAAGAGAGAAAGAAAGAAAGAAAGAAAGAAAGAAAGAAAGAAAGAAAGAAGAAAGCAAACGCCACAAGAGGTCTGAATTAAAAAGAAAGAAAGACTAAAGAAAAAAGAAAGAAAAACAAAAAACAAACAAACAAACAAAAAAGGTATTATTACAAGAAAGAAAGAAAGAAAGAAAGAAAGAAAGAAAGAAAGAAAGAAAGAAAAAAACAAACAAACAAAAAAGGTATTATTACAAGAAAGAAAGAAAGAAAGAAACAAAAAAGGTATTATTACAAGAAAGAAAGAAAGAAAGAAAGAAAGAAAGAAACAAAAAAGGTATTATTACAAGAAAGAAAGAAAAGAAGAAAAGAAACAAAAAAGAATTACAAGAAAGAAAGAAAGAAAGAAAGAAAGAAAGAAAGAAAGAAAGAAAAAAAAACAAACAAACAAAAAAGGTATTATTACAAGAAAGAAAGAAATTAAAAATGAATGATTCTTAAAGAAAGAAAGAAAGATTTGTAAATTAATATAAGTAGGGGCGGTAACTTCTCTTTCCTTTTCAATCCTTTTTGACATTTCGAAATCTTTCATGAGCAGGCTCGAAAGGGCGCGGAAGTTTTCCCGCGAGAAGCGATCGAATTTACTGCCTTGACCCTTGGGAATATAAGATGTTTATTATCGGAATTTTATTTCACTCAACTCGATTTTCATTTCAGAGTATAGAATACATCTCTCCCGTCACAATCATCAGTTTCACTTAAAGTGGAGTGTTACTGAATGAGGTTGTAGATAACGATGATTGTTCCAAGACTTGAAGAAATTAAGATTGTAGTGTTCCTGGAAGCATCCCCTCGGGAGTCTGTTCCACAGAGTAATGGTTCTTTGGAAAAAGCTTGTCTAATGTTATTTACATTTTGCCAATGGAATGCGAAGGGAACGAGGATGATTCGACCATGTGGATGTGGCAAGCCAGGTCTTAGCTGTAAAACTGAACTGGTGTGATTAACTCTTTGAGCCTTGCGTCCGTGAACAATTATAACCCTTCTGCCTGAGCTCCTGAATCAAAATTTGCAAATAATTGAGAGGTAATGTTTCACGGTAGATATAAAAATAGTTACAAGTGTTTACCCACTATTCAACCGGTGGCTGGGTCTTGAACCATTTTTCTCTACCACTGTTCAACCGGTGATTGGGCATTACGTCACTTTTCTCTATCACCGGTAAAGCGGTGCTCAGGGCTGAAAAGGTTTAGGAATATAGCTCATCAGAACATTTGCCATGGAAATAGCGACAGGGTAGTGATAGGTTTAGTCTGTGGGAAAGGGTTTATAGGGTGAAAAATAATTCATCAACTACAAGGCTATAATGAATATTTGAACACTGTCAAGCCTCCAGACTGATGTACTTTGTTTTCGGTCTGTTATGATGCTTTTAAAGTTAGAGCATGTCAGGAGGAGTCAAATACTATCTGGAGCCGTATAAGGAAGCGGACATTTTTATTCTGACATTTTATTTACTGCTTTTCTTCAATAGGAATAGATAGATTTTCCTATCATTTGCTTCATACTCCCTTCTGGTTTTTTAAACAGGAGAAGAGGTTTAAAACTTGTTTTTTGGTTTAGGATAGGGTTTCCGAATTTTGCCTAACAGTGGATTGTATATATGTGTTCCACTTGAGATTTGACGTGAACTTTAGTTGATGATTCGTTCACCAATTTACAGCCAAACCAAATTTAAGTTACCGGACAGGCTTCAAAGGAAGCTACTCTTGAAACAGGACCAAGACAAAATTCTTCAAATGATAACCAACTGATAACGAATTGTCATTCATTTTGGTTGGCATCAACAAAAGTTATAAAATCAGAAACTACGACCTTTGTTCAAAAAGTTGTAACCCTAAACCCCGAAAGAAGGGGCATAGCTGAAAATATTTGCTGTGGAAACACACGACTACTTATGAAACTAAAAAAAAAATGCAGATTTTCGTCTTAATTGCGTGATTGCGATTCGCACTGCTCGCCAAACAGGAGTAGATGCTTAAACCCCGATTCTGGTTTCGCATTGAGTTTCCGCTCCCTTCACCAGAAGTCTACTTCAACACTATACTCCTGACGCCTGCACCTAATTTCTGAAATTTTATTTACTGCTTTACCTAAATAGGAGTAGATAGATTTGCATATCATCCGGTTCATATTCCTCCCTGGTCTTTTGAACAGGTGTAGTTGTTCAAAACCTGATTCTGGTTTCGTATTGAGTTTCCGCTCCCTTCACCAGAAGTCTACTTCAACTCTATACTCCTGACGCCTGCACCTAAATTCTGAAATTTTATTTACTGCTTTACCTAAATAGGAGTAGATAGATTTGCCTATCATCCGGTTAATATTCCTCCTTTCTGGTTTTTTAAACAGGTGAAGAGGTTTAAAACTTGTTTTTTGATTTAGGATAGGGTTTCCGAATCCTTCTAAAGTCTATTTCAACTCTATGCTTCTAACGTCTCTGCCTAAACTCTGAAATTTTATTTATTTATTTTCTTCCTTCAGTAGATAGGGTTTTTTTTGTTAATAGGAGTAGAGGTTTATCTCTTGTTGCCTGTTTGGGATTGGGTTTCCGGATCCTTCGAAAGTCTACTTCAGCTCTATATTACTAACGTCTCTGCCTGAACTTTGAAATTTTATTTATTTATTATTTATTTATTTTTCCTTAATAGGAGTAGATAGATTTGCCTATTATCCTGTTCACACATCTCGCCGGTCGTTTTAACAGGAGTAGAGGTTTATCCCTTGTATCTAGTTTAGTATTAAGTTTCAGGTTCCTTCTATGGTTCTACGTCAACTCGATACTTCCAACGTCTCTGCCTAAACTCTGTAATTACATTTTCTATTTTATTTTTTATTTTTTCCTCAATAGGAATAGTTAGATATCGTCCGATTCACACTCCTTCCCTTTCTTTTGAACAAGAGGTTTTCTTCTTGATTTCCGTTTATGGTTAGGTTTCCGGTTCCTTCTAAATTCTCTTTCACCCCCAGTATCTCCTTGCGTCTTAGTGGCATTATTGCCTTGATCAGATTCCCGAAATTTAAAATCCTGAAAAATAATATTCCCGAAATTAAGAATCCTGCAAATTCAGAATCCAGAAATTAAAAATCCTGATAGATCAGATTCCCGAAATTTAAAATCCTGAAAAATAATATTCCCAAAATTAAAAATCCTGAAAATTCAGAATCCAGAAATTAAAAATCCTGAAAGGTCAGATTCCTGAAAAATAGTCTTGAGACAAATTGAAAAAAATATTTGGAAATAAACTTCTAAACATTTATAAAATAGCGTTTAACTAGTGTTTATACATTTTAAACATTCAAAATTCATTAAAAAATATAAAACTAGTATATATAAAAAAATTTTAAAGAAAGATTATGAGCAAGAACCCTAAGAAGCGCCATAACATCTGATCGGTTTTCACCATCGATAACTATATTTTTAAGCTTTTCATCACAATAAAACACACTTTTCTTTTTTCTTTTTGGACAAGACTCTCGTCTGAGATTGCGTTCATATTCGTTTTTTTACCTGCTGCTTTTCTATTTGAAACTATCCAATAATGCCATAAAAACACCGACATAAACATTGCCTACTAAATTTGTATTAGTAAATCATTATCTCCCCCCAAAAAATACATACAATCTAAAAATATTTTCTGGTTTAAAAAAACTGCATAAAGTTGATAATTCGATAAAAATAAAATCAGTGTATTAATCATTAGCCATAAAGAAGTCCACTGTAAAATATATAATTTACATGTGTTAATAAGGATGCAACGACCGCGAGAAAGACATCATCTAAAAAAACCTGTTCGGACTTCTGCTTATTGAAACAATAGCAAAGATTTCTATCTGCTTCTCTTTATATAATTCAACACATGCAAAAACGTTACTGTTTTATATATGACAGTGTGGAAAAGTTTTCGTTTTTTTTTTTGTTTTGTTTTTAGTTTTTTTTTAATCATCGGACAGAAAGCAACTACCCACCACGTAATGACACCGATGAAATAAATATGACTCCTATTTTCCCCATGCAACACAGCCTCCATAGAGAAAGAGAGAGAGAGAGAGGAAGAGAGAGACAGAGATAGAAAGAAAGAGAGAGAGGAAGAGAGAAAGAGAGAGAGAAAGAAAGAGATAGAGGAAGAGAAAGCGGTAGAGAGAGAGAGCTCGTTAGCTTATGACATTATTGTCATAAAAGATTTTTTTCTTTTCTTTTTCAGACAATGCCAGTTAGTAATCCTATGGCAAAAGCAGATGCTTCCGTTGAGCAGAGAAAGACCACACGAAGAAAAAAATGGCGGACGACAATAGGCGGGATATCGTTAAGTATGTGGGCCACGTGATAGCGGCTTAAAAGAGTGTTTCTTCAAAGTATCTTGATATATGTTCCGGATAGGTATAGAAATATAGGTGTGCTATAATCATACTTATTATAAAACCCAGGTTGTATGTGTGTGTGTGTGTGTGTGTGTTCGTTTATATATTGGATCGGATTTCCTACATTTTTCAACCGATTTCAACAAAACTTCGCAGGACTACGTAAAATTACCTTGCGGTAGTTCTGACAGCGCCAAAAATTGGAAAAACACAATTGTTTTTGCACGAAATCAATTTGAAAACACGATTAAGAGGCATCGCTCTTTCGAGAATGAAAGGTGGACAACTAATATCGAATCATACTTATCATAAAACCCTGTGTGTGTGTGTGTGTGTGTGTGTGTGTGTGTGTGTGTGTGTGTGTGTGTGTGTGTTTATATATGGGATCGGATTTCCTACATTTTTTAACCAATTTCAATAAAAATTCACTTTTTTTGGCAGGTAATGTTTCTTATTGTCTTGCACACTTTTTTCTTTATTTTTACATTCAGAATGTTTAAAAATTCCATTTACAAGACAATCGTTTATAATAAAATTCTATTCAATCGGTAGACTCATAACGATTGAAAACAATGTTTTTGTTTGAATTTGGGTTTGACCAATTCGTAAAAAAAAAAAAACTAATTAAAACATGCGTGTCCGTCAACCTTACACAATAATCTTTGTCAATTTTATTTTTCAGTTTATGATGGTCGATACTTGATCTATCTCTTACTGTTACATCCCCAGGCAACGCCGGGCTCTACTGCTAGTTATGGGATAAACTGCTCAATCTCAGATATATAGCGTATATATATATATATATATATATATATATATATATATATATATATATATATATATGTGTGTGTGTGTGTGTGTGTGTGTGTGTGTGTGTGTGTGTGCGTATATAATTGTTTATTTAGGTAGCTCTCCTCTTTTATACAGGTTTAATTGAAGCCAACTGACAAGGCTGTGATTAGGCTTTTTATTAGGTCTTTTATTATATTTTATATATTTTTATTAGGTCTTTTATTATATTTATTATATTATTTATTATTATTATTATTATTATTTTATTATTATTTATATTTATTATATTATATTTTATTAAATTTTTATATATTTTATTAGGTCTTTTATTATATTTTTGTTACATTCTTACAAGAGATTGCAAGAAAAATATAATGGAATTAGTCATAATGATTTCTTTGTCGTTTTCAATAAAGGTTGCATATATATGTGTGTGTGTGTGTGCGTGTGTGCATGTGTGTGCGTGTGGAGGTAGCATACCTATGGACGATAATGGTTATGTCCCCATTCACATAAATACAGTAGTAAATACTGTATGTTGGTCTGCAGTTGGTAATTCGTCTCCAGGTTTGCTGGTCAAACTCTCTGCCTCTGGGCAGAGATGATCCCCAGACGATGACGAAGGGCAGAGTCTTGTCCTAAGTATTATCGTTCATTACCAACCTTCGTGTAATTATTCTATTCAGTAATCTTCCCTAAGTTACAAAAAGATATATGAAGAAATATAGTTTTAAGGTGTGGTGAATTTATGGGATAAAGTGCTCAATATCAGAGATAGAATGTATGTAAATATAAAAGTGAACATTGAAGTCAGTACTCAGAAGCGACAGGCTGTTTCATGCTAAACGCAATCATCAGGCCTATAGAGTTCTCTTTAGACCAACAGATCACCAATACCAACGTATGTAAAAAATTCTCTCAAAAATTTTGAAACTATCAGCGTCTCTCGTTCGTGCGCCTGAATATTCACAACAACATCAACGAACCCACTCCAATGAAGGCCTAAAGGTCACAAAAACCTTTTTGCAATTTATTATTTTTCTTTCAAAAACTGTTCTTGATATATAAAAACTTATAAATCGTTAGCCCATATATATATATATATATATATATATATATATATATATATATATATATAGGCTAACGATAAATGTTCTTAATACTGTTTATTATAAACAGAGCATTTACTTAAATATTTGTATCTATAAAAAGAAAGTATACACATAAAAAGTGTCTTAAATAATTGTCGGACTTTGTCCATTTCATAATATATATATATATATGTGTGTGTGTGTGTGTGTGTGTGTGTGTGCAAGAAAACACTTTAAAATTCTAGAAGATATTATTTTACAAAGTAAATATTCCACACTAAATAAAATATCTTTCACCACAGGGGATGCTATCTTATCGTGTATATAAAATATTAAGTGTGCGTAAAAACAATAATAAAAGCACAATAATAATAATAATAATAATAATAATAATAATGTTGAGACCCCTCCTCAAGATCGGAATTTTCATTGACTACGCCAATGTGTGACGCCAACATAATGTGTTATCTACAAATATCTGTGAATTATTGACATAAACGTTCCACACTAGTTTCATTGTTTTTTCTTGCCTCAATTCCACTGAATTGAAAAAATATGGATTAAATCCGACAGTTTGATTAAATACGGAATAAATAGAAAAGCGTTTATCAATGTAAAATGTTTCGCTTTTATTTTACTTTTCATCAATCACTCTGGAAGGAAATTTTGAAAGAAAAATGATCAAACTAAAATAAAAGCGAAACTTATAATAAAATAAATTTATAAACGTCTTGCTATTTCTTCTTCCATATTTAATCAATGTCGGCCAATGTTCTCTGTGTCAGTCCTCGATATTTTGGGTGGGGATTTTCAAACAGAAACTCATATATTAATGGTGTGCAAAGGCTTTCAGAATTTTCTTTTTCTTTTTTTTTTTCTTTTCTACTCAGACGCTGCGAATTTTTGCACACACCGTAAATCAAAGTTGAAACTGATCAGAAAAAATAATTGTTTCTAGAAATAAATTATTTATGAATTTTTCTGTTTTAAATTCTACTTTTTGTTGTAGTTGTTGTTGTAGTTGTTAAAATTTATTAAAAAAAAAAAGTTTCAAGAGATTGAAAAAAAAAATTTCCTCAAAAAACTGAACCACGTTACATACCAAGAATTCTGGCTTTTTAAATATTTTATTTAAAATGTTTTCTTCATAAACAATTTAGTGGATTGAACGACTATGACCATCGCTGACAAATAGGATTTGGGAATTCTAAGTTTTTCTTCTCCTAAGTTGCTTTTCAACCAAGTCAAAAAAACCCAATCTGCCCTACTAGAGAGCTAAGATATGAATCTATATCTTTCTCACGGGTATTTACGTAAAAATGAATGCAACGAATAACTTTTGCCGATGCGTTTCGTCTTCCGACATTTTCAAGGCAAAAATTAAATCGAAATGTTTTTGTTGTTATAGTTACATTAAAAATTCCAAATTTAAAAAAGATAGACGCTTCTGTCTAAGCCTTTTTCTGGTTAATGTAAATTACCTTTATAGTAAGGGATTTTTTTCTATGTGGACAATATAGTTAAATTCCCAGATCAATTATGTGGACATGACAGATTGGTATTCCAATTGTCATTTTATACCGATCTGCCTTGTCCACAGAATTGTTCTGGGAATTTAACTAATATATATATATATATATATATATATATATATATATATATATATTGAAACAGTACAGAAACGTATTATGGCATGAAAAGCAAGAAATTTTATATTATAGGCCATAACAGATTTAAAATAAAACAAAAACGCACACACCAGTCGACCGGTTTCGTCCCCTCTCATTAGAACTGTCAACGGGGAACACAAATTATGAAGAGAAAAAAAAAAGTATTGCATCTTTGTTGCAATCATTTTTATAATTATTTTTTCTTCTTCTCCCTGTCCATTCATTCACGTCATCCATGACAGACTTTCTCTTTTTTTTCTCTCTCTTCATAATTTGTGTTCCCCGTTAACAGTTCTGATGAGAGGGGACGAAACCGGTCGACTGGTGTGTGTTTTGTTTTTATTTTAAATCTATCATGACCTATAATACAAAATTTCTTGGTTTTTATGCCATAATATATATATATATATATATATATATATATATATAAGTATATGAAAATATAACGATATAAAATATATAAATAAATATAAATTATATTTATATATAAATATATATATAAATATATATAAAAAATATAAATGTATATATAAAAATGTTTTAAAATAATTGTCTGACTTTGTAAAATTTCATAATGTGTGACGTCATTTGTTTACATTTGTATACGCATTGAGCAGATATGAATGTATGAGAGAAAATCATGGAGAATTGTACTTTAAAAACAGTAAAATCAACCTTGTTAACCTAAACGTCCCTCTGTGGCTCAATCGGTAAAAGCACGTCAGGCTACATATTACAATTCCGTTTCGGATACAGGTTCCATTCCTGTCGGAGGACGCATATTTTCTATGAAAATTTCTCGGACATTCAGGCCGGTAAATGTTGTTAATACTGTTTATTATAAATAGAGCATTTACTTAAATATTTGTGTCTATAAAAAGAACGTATAAACATAAAAAATGTCTTAAAATAATTGTCGGACTTTGTCCACTTCATAATATGGGACGTCATTTGTTAACATTTGGATAGGCATCGTGCATATATAAATGTATGAGAGAAAATCATGGAGAATTGTAGTTTAAAAACAGTAAAATCGACCTTGCTAACCGAAATGCTTCTCTGTGGCTCATATATATATATATATATATGTATATATATATATATATATATATATATATGATAAAATATAAGTTTAAGGTATGCTGTATTTATGAGTTAAAGTGCTCAATATCTGGGAAAGAGTGTACGTAAATATAAACGAGAACATTGATGCCAACACCTAGAGGCGACAATCGTCAGGTCGT